CTCACCTGTACTCCAGTGAAAAGCGTGTTAATTCTGTGCTATTGTGGATCCATTTAAACTCTAGTGGCCAGCTTCCCTCCGCCATGCAGGTCAGCACCAGCCTGTTACGTTCCAGATGGAGCTGGCTACGCACTGGCTCAGTCTTGAAGTAGGGAGGCACGTCATCTGTAAAGACAAATGTTTGGAATTAAAGTCTTTCAATTTCCTAATGAGACATTTTTCTCCTAAAACCAGTTAATGGAAAACAAACAGTGAACAATGAAAACTCTTAAATGTCACACACACACAAATACAGGGACAAAAGAATGTCAGGAAAACTGAGTTCTTTAGATAAGACTGAAGGAATCACATTAACTTTGATAATGTAAGCACAGACAAGAAGCAAGCACAGAGTCCTCGGAAACTTTTCAAATACACTTAAACGGGGAGCCAAATGTAACTGATGCTTACATCTCTCTGACTGTTACGGATTGTCTGTGGTCAGATGCTGGGATCTCATTTAAGACAAAGTAAACTGTGTTGCATTTATTTATCACTGGCATCTAAACACACTCCAGATGGAAAACCCTCTGTGAATGTGTCCCATTCGGAGCTACCTAATCTGATACGATGCACTGTCGTCTGCTGTGGGTGATTTTGACTTACTCTTAATGTCTCAGAGAAGTCTGACTAACCGCGAAGAGGAAGCAAAAGCATCAAGTCATGAAGGATTGATACTGCATCTCCTGCTCTGTGCACTTGTGTGTCAGTAGCTCATTGGCACAGTGCAGTACCTTCCTCCGAGCTAGACAGAGCAGACAGGAGAGGAGTAAAGCCAAGGAGGAGGCATGAAATCCTTTCATCATTTGTTCGCCTCCACTCTGTATCGCTCTGTTTTTCGCTCCTTCTGTGTTTCCTGAACACGCTCTGTTGAGTGTGACGGAATGGATTGAGGAAGACCGGCGAGAAGCTCTCTGTAGGGTGGTGCCCATAGTGAACGTCGCAATAGACACACAGTGATTTTTATATCTCAATCAAGAAGCTGCACAGCAAAACTGTCAAGGTCTCTCGTGGCTCTAATATCTCACCCTTAATAAATGATGCAAAAATGGACCGCTTACTTGATGATCATTGTAAATATAGAACACATTAATTGGATGGTTGGATAATATAATTATCAAATTGACTGATAATCAGGCATTGAAATTAAACTGTCAAAATGATCTATAGCGCTGATATTTTGTTCCTCTATTCTGGCTCGACAAATCCACTGGAGGTAGACTGATAAGAGTGAAGGAATGGCGAGAAAAATAGGGGATGAAAGTCAAACAGTGGAAGCCTAAAGATGATTTACAGGCATTTCACTTAAAATTACAGACTTAGATTAACTACTAAAGATTCTTCTTCACACTAAATGTATGTATGTTACAGTAGCTGATCATGGATGGACATAATATAGTTTGCATTTGCATCTAGTTTTTTTTTTTTGTTCCTATATTCACAGATACAAGTTGAGTGGAGCAGAGAGAGAGAGACAGAGAGTGATGGAGGTCAC